GGGATCAGGAAGCAATTTTTTCCCCTGCAGGAACAAATTGCATCATGCTTTGCTGGTTTTTTTTTGCCTTCCTCTGGATCATCAACTGTGGGTATAGAAGCATAACAGCGTTTCTCATGGTGATAACATCAGCCAGAAGAGTCTCGGTACTAGCAGCCTTAGGGTTTAAAGAACCATTCTTTCATTCTTTCTGGATAGGGTCATGCTTAGACCAATGCTAGGATTCGTACCCAAAAGTTGTCTCCAGGTTTCAAATAAAGCAAGATATTACACTCGAATGCTCCTTTTGGAAAATTCCTAGGACCCAAGTCCATTGGATGTTGTGCACTCATTGAGAGACTATGTGGACGCTACTTCCGAGCTCAGGATGTCAGATCATCTTTTCACCATCCCTAACGGTGCACGGAAAGGCTCGAGAACTTCCAGTAGTGTAATCGCTACATGGCCTGGTCAAGACAATCTCTTTAGCTTACAGAACAAGAGGGTTGCCTGAGGGGGTCACAGCGCATTCCACTAGAGGGGTTTCAACCTTATGGGTAGCAGTGGGCCGAGTTTCCTCGGAAACAATCTGCAAAGCGGCTACATGGTCTTCTGTTCATACCTTCATGACTCATTATTGTATAGAACCTGCGGCTTTGACTACTGCTGATTTTGGCAGGGGTGTCTTGGCCTCTGCTTCCAGTTGAAATTAAATTGGTTTGCGCTAGTTAAATCCCAGCTGTGCTGATATGGAGCTGTCACGAAAACGGAAAATTTAATTCAAATACTTACCGAAATTTTCCTTTCCAGGCAAGCTCCATGGCAGCACAAATCCCACCCAGTTTAGTAGTACGAGTTACGGAACGCCTAGGCTGAGGTGGGTAAAAAAAAATGTATTGCGTTACATCCTGATCAGGCAGGGGGTGGGTGGGGCCTCACCCAGCTGTGCTGCCATGGAGCTCGTCAGGAAAGGAAAATTACATTAAGTATTTGTATTCAGTTTTCCGTTATCTGGTTTGTGGAATCAACAGTAGATATGCCACTCCAAACTTGCCTTTTTCCCTGTATCTCCTGCTCACATAAAGGTGCATGCCCGGTATCCACTCCCCCCTCCTCCCCAAATGCTCCATTTCACAAAAATTAGCTGGGGAGGAGGCCTTAAAGTTGAACTTCCCCTTTGGGTGGACCTCTGCTTTAAGCGTAATCACAAAAAAAATGTGCTATAACCATCCCAGAGAGTGGAATAAATCTAACTAATCTTAAACATTCTCCCTCCCCTGCCTTATACCTATTCTGAATAACCTGTGTTGTATATCTTGCAAATACTTACTGATTTTTTGCCTGCTCCGTTTCAGTCATATGATCCCCTGTGTCAGCCAGCAGCAGCTGCAGGGGAGAGGAGAGAGCCCTTGACAATGGCTTGTAAAGCTTGGAGTAGTGACATTACTCATAGGCTCCAATGGCCCATCTGTTGTTAATGTTCCTCTATTCCCCTTGCAATCTTTGACCAAATTTTTCTCTTTTGTCCACGTCCAGGGAGATTAGCTACAGTGCCATGGTCTGTGAACATCTAGACCACATATGTCAAACACAAGGCCTGCAGACCAAATCTGGTCCCCCAGACCAGGTCATGTGGCCCTTGCACCCAATTTTAAGTTGGAAAATGGCTAATCTTTGTTCTACCACCTCCAACTCTCACCTTCCGCTCCCCGCTGTCACTTGTAAATACAGAAGCCTTCTATGTTTACAAGGACAGCTTTGCTCTGGATGGCTCGTGGCCCAAACAGATTCCTCAGGTAATCCTCAGCCATGCACTCTGTACACAGTGCACCCATGAACTCTGCACATAATGCACTCCTGAACTCTGCATTCTGCACGTAATGCATTCCTAAACTCTACACGTAACGCACTCCTGAACGCTGCACTCTGCACATAATGCACTCCTGAACTTTGCACTCTGCATGTAACGCACTCCTGAACTCTGCACGTAACGCACTCCTGAACTTTGCACTCTGCAAATAATGCACTCCTGAACTCTGCACTTTGCATGTAATGCACTCCTGAACTCTGCACTAGCGCACTCCTGAACTCTGCACATAGCGCACTCCTGAACTCTGCACGTAGCGCACTCCTGAACTCTGCACGTAGCGCACTGAACTCTGCACGTAGCGCACTCCTGAACTCTGCACGTAGCGCACTCCTGAACTCTGCACGTAATGCACTCCTGAACTCTGCATTCTGCACGTAATGGCATTCCTAAACTCTACACGCGCACTCCTGAACGCTGCACTCTGCACATAATGCACTCCTGAACTTTGCACTGCATGTAAATGCGAACTTTGCACGTAACGCACTCCTGAACTCTGCACTCTGCAAATAATGCACTTCTGAACTCTGCACTTTGCATGTAATGCACTCCTGAACTCTGCACGTAGCGCACTCCTGAACTCTGCACGTAGCGCACTCCTGAACTCTGCACGTAGCGCACTCCTGAACTCTGCACGTAGCGCACTCCTGAACTCTGCACGTAGCGCACTCCTGAACTCTGCACTCTGTAACGCATTCCTGAACACGTTACGCACTCCTGAACTCTGCACTTGCACATAATGCACTCCTGAACTCTGCACACTGCTAGCCCACAACTGGCCCTTTGAGGGTATCCATACTGCTGAAGCGACCCAAGATGAAATTGAGTTTGACACCCCTGTTCTAGACAATGTTGCACACAGTGGACACAGGAACATTAAGATCTGTTAATTGATATAAGTGAGTTTTATTACAAATGACAGGAGCATCATAAACTTGAAATGCAATTATTTCTTACAATTTTGAGAAGGTGCAAATAATTTTGTCCAGTCCATTTTTGGGGTTATACAGGGAATGTGTCAGATTTGGCTTTTTGTTTCTCCACTTTTTTGTGTCATACCAAATACAAACAAAAGAAATAAACATTAAATGCCTAAACATTTGTAAGTGCAACAATGTTCTGGGTAAAGTGGTGCATTATCTGACAGAAATGCAGGGATGCCAATATTTTTGGCCATGCCTGCATATACATCTTTCTTACACAGGTTAGTCAATATATGTGTTAGGAGAGGGGAAGGCACATTTTTAAGATTAGTTAGGTTTATTCCAGAATTCCTATAAGCTCCAGTGCACACTGGTTCGACTTCTCATGTGATTTGACAGTTTCAAATCACAAGACAATTCACACCCTATCGGCAATGGAACCATTCAAATTGATGCAATTTTGAAAATAGTTTGTGCACTATTTTCAGTGATTTCAGGTGCGACTTGCATTGACATCTGTGCATGAAGTCTCAGATGTCAGGCAAGCCGCATATGATATCACACCGGGTCCACGACTTTGAAATCACACTACTTCAAATGAAGTAAAACGATTTCAATGTCACATCTCCTGTGAACCGGGGTTTAACCGTTTCAATACCGTGCAATTTTACACCTTCCTGCCCAGGCCAGTTTTCAGGTTTCAGCGCTCTCACACTTTGAATGACAATTGCGCTGTCATACAACATTGTACCCAAACTAAAATTTTATCATTTTCTTCACACAACTAGAGCTTTCTTTTGGTGGTATTTAATCACCGCTGGGGTTTTTATTTTTTGCTAAATTAACAAAAAAAGACCAAAAAATTTTGAAAAAAAAACACATTTTTCTTTGTTTCTGTTATAAAAGTTTACAAATAAATAATTGTTCTTCATAAATTTAGGCCGAGATGTATTCTGCTACATGTCTTTGGTGAAAATAACCCAAATTAGGATGTATTTTTTAGTTTGTAGGAAAGTTATAGAGTTCACAAACTATGGTATAGATCTGAATATTGATCAATCCTGAAGTACTGACAGCCAATCTAATATCTTGAGGTCCAAGAATGTCAGAACAGTACAGATATCCCCCAAATGACCCCTTTTTGCAGAGTAGACAGTCCGACGTACTTCATAAGAGGCATGGCGAGTTTTTTGAAGTTGTATTTTTTTGTCATAATTTTTCGGAAAATGAAAAAATTAAAAAAATTATTTTCACTATTTTTTTTTTTACATACTGTCACCAGTGCAGTACAGCGTCATCATATAACTGGCATGGCGGTGAACAGCGACACTGACTGGTGACAGTATGAAAAAAAAAAAATATATATTTTTTTTTTAAATTTTTTTTAATTTTTTTATTATATTTAATTTTTTATTACATTTTTTTTAAAAAATTTTTTTTAAGATTTTTTTTCAGATTTTACTATGACCAAAATAGTACAATGTTACCATAGTAACACTGTACTACTTTGGGGAAGTGATCAGTATTTTTTTTTTTTTTTTTACACAATTTGCTTATAGCAAAGAATTACTTTGCTATAAGCAAGCATTTACCTGAATGAAATCGATTCATTCAGCTTTTTTTTTTTTTTTTTTTTTTTTTTTGTGCTTAGCTGTGATTTGGTCACAGCTAATCACATGACATGTGCATGTGATTAGCTGTGACCATTCACAGCTAGGCACACTAGTATGCAATGGATGGCATCATGAATGAAGCCATCCATTGTATACAACTGTCATGTGGCCTGCTGTGATTGGTCACAGCAGGTCACATGGTACCGGCAACGGGAGCCGGTACTCGGATCTGTCATCGGCCGCGTCCGAGGTGCACGGGCGGTGACAGATCGCACTGCTGCGTCGCTCTGCAACCGCGCAAACCGCGCATGTGCGGGAGCACGCCAAATGGCGTGCACCCGGAAAGCTGCAGCGCTTTTCAAGCCGCCAAACGGCCATTGGCCGGGCGGCTAATGGTTAAAGAGTTTGCTTTTATCACAGACTAGCTCTGAGCAAGGAGATCTAAGGCCCCATCTAGTGGTAGAACAACTATACATGCAAAACAAATACATCATAGTAGGGCCAATTCACTAGAGCAGGGCTTAAAATTTCAAGTCCTGAGATACTAGCCAGGCCTTAAGAGTTACTCGCCACCAACAAACACACACAAACAGAGACAGGTACATACACAGAAATACATACGTACAGACACATGTATATACACACAGACACATGTACATACATACACAGACACATGTACACACAGACACACATACATGTACATACACGCAGACACATGTACAGATACACTCATGTACATACACACAGACACATGTACATACACACACACACACACACACAGCCTATAAAAAGTTACAGTACTTAGTTGTTCACTCACAGAGCCGGGTACTGCACTCTAGGGGGAGGAAGAGAGCACAGCACACACTCCTTCCTTTGCTTTCACTGCGCTCAGCTATTGAGCAGTCTGACAGCTCCCAGTGCCAATGACAGATCCAGCCTGAGCTCTGAGCCTGCTCAGCAAGACAGCCCTGGGGGACACACTCGCCCCCACAATAATTTCCACTCGCCATTGGCGAGCAGGTGAGTGGAAATTTCAAGGCCTGCACTAGAGTACACTGCTCAAAACAATTAAAGGAACACTTTTTAATCAGAGTATAGCATCAAGTCAACTAAACTCCTGGGATATTGATCTGGTCATTTAAGTAGCAGAGGGGGTTGTTAATCAGTTTCAGTCGCTTTGGTGGTAATGAAATTCACAACAGGTGCACTAGATGGGCACCAATGAGACTACCCCCAAAAACAGAAATGGTTTTATAGGTGGAGGCCACTGACATTTTTCTCATGACTCATCTTTGACTGTTTTTTACTAGTTTTGCATTTGGCTAGGGTCAGTGTCACTACTGGTAGCATGAGTGTAACGGAACCAGACCCAGACTGCACTTGGGTATTTCCTTTAGACTCCAGCTTCCCAGTCCGAACACAAATCCCCGGTCACCACCGCCGATCATGAAGGAAATAAGACAGCACCAGACTCTTCTTAAGACAGGAAGTCAAATACAAACACAAGATATATACATTCAAGGGAACAACCCACCTCCCTGCATATGAACACAGGGCGTGGGAAACCAAATCTAGCAACCAGAGACATCAGCAGACACCCACCACCAAGCCAATACACAAACACATACAACCCATAATAGTTTGCCCCAAGCCAAACAAACAATAGAACAACGGGACAACCACATGGCATTAAACAATGAACAACCCCCACACCCCCACCAAACCAAGACACACAATATTAGGACAGATCACCCTGCACCCCTAACAGGCACAGGGTGCCTACACATAAGAGGAACATGAGGAGCTGATACAGGGTCCCCCCACCCCCAAAAGTCACTCCCGTCACATATCTCCCCTTTTGGCAGGAGACTAACGCAGGAGTAATCCCAGACAGATGGACTCCGAAGTGAGTCTGTACTCCCAGTCCCCCAATGCCAGCACCCACACAGTACCCCAAACAAATTGTCCCCCACAAAGCATTACTCACCCAGCCAACCTCTGCATCTCCTGTAGAACATACCCGCCGCTGAGGAGAAGTACGAACTGGTCCTTCTCCCTGAAGTCCTCTCAGCTGCTGGGGAGAAGACAGGGTGGCTGGGCTGACTCCGTCATGCTGTTGGGGATCTGGGCCAACTGCCCAGCATCCCTGGGGTATCCAGGTGGCGATGTTAGTCTCATCCACTTTGACTTGATGGACCTCCCCCAGTGTTTGCAAAGTAAGGATGACATCCTCTTGTCCCAATGCCAGACCCTTTTCTGGGGTTGTGTCAGTGGAGACCGAAGTCCCATCCACGGACATCAGCTCAAGCTGCCGTTGTGAGGTGCCGATTGCATCCTCGTCGTGTAGCTCCTGCAGTGCTGATTGTTGTGGGCAGAGGTCAACCACACCATGCCCTGATGCCAGCTCTTCTGCGGGGGGCGTGCCGGCTGGTTCCTCCTCAGCAGAAAAGTCAATCAAATCCCCAGTCTCTGGAACTGGTGTCTGGGGATAGGGGTTCCCCATCTCCTGTCCATGGAACTCAGAAGATGTTACCAGTGCTGGGCAGAGTTCAGTAATGTTTGGCTCTGTTGCCAGCTTTTCTGCTGGTTCCTCCTCAGCCGAGAAGTCTATCAAATCCCCAGTCTCTGGAATTTCCACTGACGATTCTTGGGCATGCTGCCGAACATGTTTTAGCAGTTGCCTGTATGCCCTTTCCAGATGCAGTTCTTTCTTTAGCAGGTATTCCAGATCTGGTTCAAGCTCTGAGACCCCTGTGAGACCGAACATAGCCTCTCTGCCTCCTCGCAACTCCTCCAGGGTAGGGTCTCCTTCATCGCCAAACACAAAATTATCTGTAAGGCTCTCCCACAGCAATCCAGGCCCACCAAAGTCATGTTCCTCAGGAGAGCACTCTGTTGACACCCCTAAATATTCCTGCTCTGCATACCATTGTAAAGCCCGATATCTGTTGTCCAGTTGTATCTCCCTGCTGGACCAGCCTGTCCAACTCAGTCATCCATTGCTCCTGGGGTCACTCTCCCAGGAATGGCATCCGTAACGTCCGATGGTCCCTTGCCCTTTCCCCTGGGGTTGGATAGCACTTGCCTTTGTCCATACTAGCACCTGGAGGGCTCCTCTCCAAAGGACCTCCCAAATCTGCTGCCTGAGCTCCAGGTACTGATCCGTAGACACAGTCCTAGGGTATGTTGCAAGAACAGTCTGTAGCAGCCCTGGGAACTCTGATGCCAGGTCCATATCTCCACTGGGGTGACTGACATCTCCTTTCCTGATCTTGAATCCCAGTGGTGGTTTGGATGTGTTCACAGCTGGGAAGCACAATCCCACCGCTTGCCACCAATGTAACGGAACCGGACCCAGATCGCACTTGGGTATTTCCGTTAGACTCCCGCTTCCCTGTCTGAACACAAATCCCCGGACACCACCGCTGATCATACAGGAAATAAGACAGCACCAGACTCTTCTTAAGACAGGAAGTCAACTGCTTTATTTTAACACAAACAAGATATATACATTCAAGGGAACAACCCACCTCCCTGCATAAAGACACAGGGCGTGGCAAATCAAATCTAGCAACCAGAGACATCAGCAGACACCCCCCATCAAGCCAATACACAAACACATACAACCCATAATAGTTTGCTCCCAGCCAGACGCACAATAGAACAACGGGACAACCACATGGCATTAAACAATGAACAACCCCAACAAAACAAGACACACAATATTAGGACAGATCACCCTGCACCCCTAACAGGCACAGGGTGCCTACACATAAGAGGAACATGAGGAGCTGATACGGGGGTCCCCCCACCCCCAAAAGTCACTCCTGTCACAATGAGACAATACCTGGACCCTACAGAGGTTGCACAGGCAGTCCAACTCCTCCAGGATGGCACATCCAAACGTGCCATTGCCAGAAGGCATGCTGTGTCTCCCAGCACAGTCTCAAGAGCATGGAGGAGATTCCAGGAGACAGGCAGTTACTCTGGAAGAGCTGGACAGGGCCGTAGAAGGTCCTTAACCCATCAGTAGGACCGATATCTGCTCCTTTGTGCAAGGAGGAACAGGATGAGCACTGCCAGAGCCCTACAAAATGACCTCCAGCAGGCTACTGGTGTGAATGCCTCTGACCAAACAATCAGAAACAGACTTCATGAGGGTGGCCTGATGGCCCGACATCCTCTAGTGGTCCCTGTGCTCAATGCCCGACACCATAGAGCTCGATTGGCATTTGCCATTGAACAGCAGAATTGGCAGGTCCACCACTGGCGCCCTGTGCTTTTCACAGATGATAGCAGGTTCACCCTGAGCACATGTGACAGACGTGAAAGGGTCTGGAGAAACTATGGAAAATGTTAAGCTGCCTGTAACATCGTTCAGCATGACCGTTTTGGTGGTTGGTCAGTGATGGTCTGGGGAGGCATATCCATGGAGGAACCCACAGACTTCTACAGGCTAGACAATGACACCCTGTCCGCCATTAGGTATCGGGATTAAATCCTTGGACCCATTGCCACACCCTACACTGTTGCATTGGGTCCTGGGTTCCTCCTGCATGACAATGCCCGCCTCATGTGGCAAGAGTATGCAGGGATCAGCCAAATTTCGATCTAACTATGGTCGTTTCCATTCAGGAGGAGTCAATCTAATTGACTCCTCCTGAACAAGACTGTTGGTAAATTTTCATTGGGTCAGTTTGAGCAGCCAATCAGCTGCAGAACTGATCTGTGTATTTTGAGAGCGAAAGAGTCCCCACTGTCAGATTACAATAACACAGCAGGGAAGATTCCTCCATCCATCTTGCTTGTGTGGGTGGGGTAATGTATTCAGCTTTTTAAGCAGTCCGGTGACTGATCAGAAAAAAAAAACAAGTAATTTATGGCCAGCTTTAGCAAACATATCTTTGTACTCAGGGCTGTGGATAAGGGGTACCACCAGTCTTCCTGTACAGGGCCCAGGCTAGCGAGTGGTCCCAGACAGCTGGGTAATTCAGATGCGAGCATGGAGCGTGATTGGCACAGCGGGGGGGGGGCAGATACTGGAACTGATTCCTACATCCCGTGCCTCCACCTCCACAGTGCTGCCAGCTTCCCTCCTCTCCTTTCCACCGGCAGCTGCAAAAACACAATGGGATCCTTCAGGATGGAGAGTGGGGGAAGATCACATTTACCAGCCCTTTCCTTTCCTGAATGAGCACGATGAGTGATCAGTACCGATCACTCACTGTGTTCATTTATAACTGAATCATAGTAAACTGTGTTTTATTGGGAGGGCTGTCAGGTTGGCTGTATGGGCCCCGATGATTTCTAACAGCACCCCTGTTTGTACTGATACTTATACACCTAATAATCCAAACCTTCAATACCAAAAAAAAAGGGCTGAAAATAAGGAAAAAGAAAAAAAACATAAAGGGAGAAGAGCTGAAAAAAGGGTGAAATAAGGATGAGGGTGGAATTAAACATTATAAAAAATATAAAAAAAACACAAAAACTCTCCTTTGTGGTGCTATACCACCCAAATGACCCATCTGCAAAACTTCAAAGCCCTTCAGAACATTCAGATAATTAAAAAAAAAAAACATTTTATTCATCTTGCAATGTAAATAACAATCCTGTATGGAATAACAAATATAAAAAGTTAAATCAAGACAAATCAAGAAGAAAAAAAGAAAGCTATGGGTGCTCAGAGCTTGTCTTTGATGGAAGCAAATTATAGCACATTTGCTTAACCACTTTTACCCCCTTCCTGCCCAGGCCAATTTTCAGCTTTCAGCGCTATAGCATTTTGACAATTGCGCTGTCATACAACACTGTACCCAAACAAAATTTTTATAATTTTTTTTAGACAGATAGAGCTTTTGGTGGTATTTAATCACCACTGGGATTTTTTTTATTTTTTTTGCTAAACAAACTAAAAAAGGCTGAAAATTTTGAAAAAAAAAGTTTTTTCTTAGTTTCTGTGGAGGCGGTGAAATAGTTTGCATGGGCAAGCTGGCCCAAATTTATTCTTTTCATGGCAGATATTCTGGCTGCTGTAATAGACTGTAGTAGCATGAGCTA